CAACCCCACCCCCACCCTACTAAGCCTCCACAGTCCAGCCCCACCCACACTGGGCCTCCACAGTCCAGCCCCAGCCCTACCCACACTGTGTCCTCACAGTCCAGCCCCAGCCCTACCCACACTGTGTCCTCTACAGTCCAGCCCAGCCCTACCCACACTGTGTCCTTCACAGTACAGCCCAGCCTCACCCACACTGGCCCTCCACAGTCCAGCCCAGTCCCACCCACACTGGCCCTCCACAGTCCAGCCCAGTCCCACCCACACTGGCCCTCCACAGTCCAGCCCAGCCCCACCCACACTGTGTCCTTCACTCCCACCAATTGAACCTTTGCTATTATTATTTCTCAGCTCACCAACGCAGTTGCTAAGAAGGCATAGTAGGAATTAATGCATGAACAAGTCTACAGATTAACTAAAGGATGAAAACAAGATATAATGAACAAAATCTCCACGAAACATCTATTTTGAGATATAAAAACTCATGTCAGAAAACTGTCCTCAGATCATCTATCTTCTTTAGAGACAGCTGGTCAACATATAAAACATGCACATGAGGTACAGAGGAAACATCTTCACAGACCAAATAGTGCCGGTAGGTATAGTTTTAAAAAAGTATATTTTCAGAATTTTCAGACATAGTACTAAACATTCAAAAGAACACAGCTACTCTATTAATAATTAAAACATGAAGTTGAAACTATCAGTTTGGGGTAACTGTGCTACTATGCGACAGTGTTCATCTCTGGGGATGATTTCTATGACATTTTACACACAGAGACGCAAAGCATTCCTCATATCATACTATGGACTATGGGCGGCGCCTGTAGCTCAGTCAGCAAAGCCACTGGCCACATACACCTAGGCTGGCAGGTTTGAACCCAGCCTGGGTCTGCTAAGCAACAAAGACAACTGCAACCAAAAAATAGCCGGGCACTGTGGTGGGTGCCTGTGGTCCCAGCTACTTGGGAAGCTGAGGCAAGAGAATAGCTTAAGCCCAAGAGTTGGAGGTTGCTGTGAGCTGTGATATCATGGCACTCTATCCAGGGTGACAGCTTGAGACTCTGTCTCAAAAAAAAAAACAAAACCAGACTATGGACTATGATCACTTCTACTCTCAAGTCCTCTTGGAGAAAGCAAGGAAAATACAGATACGAACAAGTAAGTGACAAATGTTTTAAAAAAGAATTCACATGTAATTCAGATTATATAAGATTTCTGACACCCTTATTTTCAGTAGTGTAGTATGCTAGATAGGAGGAATACCAAAAAATGCATAAGATCAGGTATAATGTGCATCAATATGACTGTCTCCACAGATCC